ATCATCTGGATTACCCAAAATTATCGTGAACTGTGCCTCTAACCATATGGGTGTAATACAATCGCTTCCATTCACATGGCATGAATTCTAGCCTAGGAACAAGTCAGTGTTTCTATCCTCCCAGACGATCTGGTACCATCTGACTGACCAAGGAAATTTGGAGTCTAGGTGAGTTTATACCTTGGGCCCCGGACCACTTGCCACTACATACCTCCGCCCCACTAAGGCATATTACTTGAAGAATACTATGTTTTACTATAGTTGTTGCAAAGCTGAGCTGGAACCAAACCTTGCTTATTTGCCGGACATAGTCGATTGAAAAGAGCGTCATCTTTCTGAGTACTTTCATGAAACATTCGGGCATCAATGGCGGCTGCTAGGAGATTATTAGCCGCTGTGATAGCATGAATATCGCCAGTCAGATGCAAATTGAATTCCTCCATCGGTATAACCTATGAAAGCAATCATATTGACCGTAGTTTGGACTTAATTCTTAGACTGAGCACCTGAGCATATCCTCCTCCAGCTGCTCCTCCTTTAATGCCAAAGGTTGGACCTTGCGATGGCTGTCGAACACAGGCAAACGAATTTTTATGAAGATGGGCCGTTAGGGCTTGAACAAGACCCATTGTGGTTGTCGACTTTCCTTCTCCCAGTGGCGTCGGAGTAATAGCTTGAACAACAGGATTGAGATTTGTCAAAAAGCATTAAAAAGTACAAAAATTTCAAATCTGACAGCGAAACTGTCCTTTTTATAGTCGTAATAGAGTAGATACTTACCAGTAACTACGACGTACTTTCCATTTTTCACATGGTCCAATCTTTGCAAGACATCCAACGAAACTTTGGCTTTTTTCTTGCCGTAAGGATCAAGCTCTTCGGGTAGAATACCAATCTCCTCAGCGAGCTGTAACATACTTAAGAATACCGTAGGAATAGGAACACAGACCATAAATATATAGTTCGCGATGATTGCTCAGATAATTAAAAGCATAAGGTTTTGAGGATTGATCAACCCGGTTAAAGGCACAGTTCACGATAATTTTGTGGTATCCGTTTTTATTAGAAAAGCGGAAGTATAGATTATGAATAGTTCATCGGTAGTGAAGAAAGTGAGAGAATTTGCCGATTTCTAGAAAAATATGGTTCCTCAAAAGTAGGGGAAATAGAGGTTGGACGAGATTGCCATGACGGAAATAACATGGAAGGGATATTCGGACAAGATTTCA